GACTGGCAGTGCATTTGTTGGACCAGATCTAAGGAGCCAGAGAGCGTTCAGCTCCTTTTTGCCTACAAAAGAGCAGCCAGACAACCAGCAAGAGGCCTTGGATGTAGCACAAGGTGATACTTACATAGTCAGCCATTCTTTTTTTCAAATATTTTTTTTTCCGTTCAGTAAACTAAGAGTTTTTCAGTTTCACAACGACACAAGGAATTAAATTATCAGTGGATTGTTTTTCTACAGCCAGCATTCTTTACACCAGGAATACTGTACCAAGTGAATTGTAGGTTTTCCAGAACAACATAGATTATATTAAAAATAAAAAAATTTTAAAAATAATTTGCTGGCTATTTCTTTTAAAAACCTCCCTGTTTTAAAGGCATGTTTTCCATTTTACAGCCACACAACCCATTTTACTGTGAATTTTGGGAGCCTTTTTTTCTTAGGAAGGACAGCTTTGCTAAGACATTGCTTGTGATTCTTCCAGTTTTAGACTACTTTGGGCTACTTCTGTTTTCATTCGGTTTCATCAGTCTGCAAGTGCCATAGCTCGGAAGCCAATGGCTACTTAAGACAAACAGTTTGATACTTTTTGTGATGTGCATTCATGAGAAAATATTTTCAAGCTATATGCAGTTTATTGGTAGTAGGGTAGCTGGTGTAGACACAGGGCATAAGGCAGAAAATACCCAAGATGTTTATGTCTGTCTTTGCTTACCACTTCCTAGGATCTTACTGACCACAGAAATCCAAAGCCACTTTTGTTTCTGCCGAGTGTTCCCTGCTTAGCAATCCATATTTTGCTCACTACCTGTGTATTTTGAGCTGTTCTGAAAACGGTGGTAGAGACCAAACATAAATGTGGTCCCCAGGGTGATCAAAGATTTAATCTGACCAGATGGGACAAACTTGAGAAAGATTTTGACTTTCCACTCTGTTTTGCAACAAGAAAGGCTGATTTTTTTTTCTCCAGTCCTTTCTTTGTTAGCAAAGGCAGAGATCAGGCCATCCCCAGAGGAATGAGCAGGTGTGGCCATTTACAAGCATGTCTGGTTATATTATAAACCAACATAAGAAAAGTTTGAAATGGTTTGAAAAGATCTGCTAAACAGTTTTAATGTTTCATCCCAAATCCTATTTACTCAAACAAGAGCCGATGAAGGTCACAGTACAACCCAGCCTGCTCAAACCTTTAGAGCTCGTGTAATTTTATTTTTTTTTATTTTTTTTTTATTCTGTCTTCTCTACTAACTGAATAGGTACATTTTGGTAATCCTGAATAGGTACATTTCGGTAATCCTTGCCTCTGGACAAGCACAGAAGTCTTTTTCTTTCTGAATGGCTAATAACAGAGCCGTTCTTCCTGTCTAATGATGAAAGAGGTGGCAGTCAAGTTCTTTCTCTTAGATGTTCTGTACACTCGGGGCTGACCACGAACCATTTTGAAAGCTACAGGGATCACTCCCCCTCATAGGTACAATTCTGGTTTGATTTTGTTGCTGTGGTTTGTAACTATTTTACCACTTTTTTTATTTTTTTTTTCCTCCCAGTCTATTGACACGGTAAAGAATTTTCTTTCTAGACATCAAGTAAATGCAGTTCACCAGATTGTAATTTTTTTATAGAAGGAGGATCATACATTATCAGACTTCTGGTGTAAAGTCAGTTTGGATCCTCCCAAAATTCGACCAAGGAGGACTAAAAATCCCTGGCAAAGGTTTTTGTTTGTCGGGGGGTTTTTTGTTTGAAAATGTAAGAAAATTGCAGGATTTTTGTAATTTAAGGAGATGGTTTTTAAGTGGGTGTTTAGGTTATTTTTTTCCTCTGCAAGAGTCTACCACTCTCAATATTTTACTGAGTTGGTCAGCTCTCAGCTGGCCGGGTAATGATCTCAGAAACTGCCCTGCCAGTGTTTCACATTCGAATTCACCTTCCCAAATCCACGGCATCATTTTTGGCCAAAGTAATGTCAGTCATTGCTGTCTGCGGCGAGTACAAACAGGACCCCCTAATGGCAGCCATTTTTATTTGTTTCTTAAGATCCAAAGGCTGCTGAAAGAACAATTGGATAAAGTTGAGGATTGGAGAAGCTTGATTTTCTTGTTCCAGTGAAATGAAACTCCTGTCCTTTTTTTTCTTCCCTTTCCCTTGAAAGCCGGAGTCAGCTAGGGGGTTGTAGCTGTGTCAAAGCCGTTGGGATGCCACTGCTGATCACTTTAATTACTAGGACTAAGGAGGATAAAATTAAAAGTAGCACCATTGAAGCAGTGGAAGAAAGCTTGCCGAGATGTCAGTGAACTGTGAAATATAAAAATTGCATACCAATACATTTTTATAGGAGGGAAACAAGGAATTACATTACTTATTCTTGAAGAGTTTGTCCTTAAGTAGTGAAGTTTTCCTTGCTGTGCGTCTGCATGGCAGATCTTTAAACCATTTCGAAGTAGTTGGGGGAAAATAACAGAACAAACTTTAATGTCTCTTTGGCATGTCGGGTCAATGTCAGAGAGTGAAAGATTTTACTGAGTTTTCTCTTCAACTGTACAGGAAAAAAACCCACTGTATGTGTGTTTGCTTGGTCCTTTCTTGGTACAGTGCTTCTCTTCGTGTTGCCTGGGGTTTTTTTAATATCTTTATTCATGCCTCCGTACCTCTCCTGAGCCCTTTCCTTTCCAAATTCTTGGAGATTGATATACTGTTTAATAATTTTTCTGTACCTCAAAACTTAATATATCTACTTTTTCTGCTCTCAGTTTCACTGCTCCTTCCACAGTGTTTCTCCTTCCAAGCTCAGCAAACGAGGGTTCAAATACCTGAATTGAATTTAAGCAAGAACTAAGCCAGTTTTTCTCTTATCCGCTGGTGATGATTGGCTTAATCAGCACAAACACAAGCCACTATAATCTGTGTTTGCTTGGAGATCCCCGGGATGTTAATGACTATGCTAATAATTCAGGATACAAGTTCTCTTTCAGGAGGAGGGGGGGGAAAGGAGAGGGGAGAAATCAGCCTGCTCAGCTTAGGGCATTTTTGTCACAAATACATAACTGGCCTTATTTTAAACTACACGTACTGAAATAGATTAAATTGTTTGACTTTAAACCATACAGGAGTCTTAATTTTGCACATTCCTTCTTAAAAGTCATTTAAATCAAACCCACAAGTTCCTATATCCCAGGAGTTAGGAATGTTAGAGATTTGAGCACTTTTCTTTATGTAAAATTCAATGTAATTAATGTTACCGAATACTGTGGGTCAAAATAAAACCATTTGCTGTGTCAGTTGGTTGACTAGAAATTAAATTAAATTGATCTATTATAGTGCATAGGAGGAGGAGGGGGAAGCTTTCTAGGTGTCTTTCTAATGTGTACTTTACCAAATAAATTTTTGATAGAAGTGTTGCTCTGTGCCTTCTGGGAAGTTAAAAGGGTGAGAAAGCAAACAAAGCCCATGTGCCATCCTGCTGCCTCGCAGGGCCCAGGCAGAATTGTCTTTCCAGGGGAGGACATTAGGAGAAAAGTAAATCCAGGCAATCTGATAGGGAATCAGGACTCTGTCACTCAGAGGCGAGATATTGTGCTGTGTCCATATACTTTGTTTACTGTAGGGTTTTATGAGTTGTAACCTGCCCATGCAAGCTGTTAATGAGGCTAAATCTTGCTGCTTGAGGATTGAATTACAGCACACCTCTGGGCTAATGGTTATAAACAGAAAGTCCCATTAGGGCTGCATTCTGATTCAGTCATTTGCATTTTTTCTATTGTGCTGAGGACAATGCTGAGTAAATAGCTACAAACAAACAATTTACATGGAAATGGATAAAATGTACCTAATTAGTATTTTGCACTTGTTTTATTAATGATTGCTTAAACTAAATAGCACTCAGCAGCAGCTCTCTCCAGCGTCTGCAGGTGTGGGATGCTCAGATTTCTGTGTTGGTGGGAAGGCTGCCAGGATGGCTCTCCAAAATTGGGCAGTTTGTTATATTTCATTTAGTTCAGGTTAACAGCCTGTACCTGGGATTTGTCCAGATCATTATGTCAATATTACAAAATTATTGGCAGGTTAGACTTAAAAGCCAGGTGCTGACTTTGTTGTGCTTATGACCATTTCTGATATAGAGGGGTGAGGAAAAACAGTCCTAACTTTGAAAAAATCCCATGTTCAAGGTGAAAACTGAAATGGTTTCCCTTATGGTTTCATGGAGTCTTATAGATATGTTTAAACACATTTTTTTATTAAGACTTTTTTAGTATGGTGGGTTAGTCATTTACAAAATTTGATGCTGCAGAACTTTCCTTTTTTATGCATTTGATATATTATTGTGCTTGTAAGTTATGAGCTTTAGTAGGACATGGCATGGTTCCAGTATGATCTCTTTAATTGCTGACCAAAGCCCCACTAGTAGGATGTTTTAAATGATTCAAAGTCTTTTCTGCTCTGAGAGCACCTATTGTTCTTTCAGTAATTTTCGTTAATTTATTTTTTTTAAAAGTATCCATTGAAGTCAAAGAACATGTCTCAGATTTGATGCCACTTCACACTTTGAAGTCAGCTTGGTGCTTGGATAACCAAGAGCAACATCTGGCTTCTCATTTCAGTTCTATGAGAGAATACTACTCAAATGAGTAATTCAATTTAGTAAAACCATTTTATAGCCACGGTAAAACTTCACTCAAATCACTCATTAAGTGTGATTACTTTGAGAGTGAAGTGTCTGCAAATTTTCATCAAGGTATTTTTATAGAACATAATTTATAAAAGCTTTACATTGCAAATCATTAGGTTTCTAATGCAGTAATAATTTGGGGAATGCTTTAAAAAAATAATCTGATGCATGGATGTCTTTAAAAATTGTGGTGTGACACCCAACTGATATCGAGCGTCCTATTTATAATGTGGGCCAAGCACCATGCTGTAAACCAGTTCCTATCATGATGATCAGATTGAGAATGAAATTGCATTTCTGTCAATTACTGAGTTGGCAACTGTTCAATATATCTTAGCAGCAAGATGAAGAGCGGCGTCGGCAGCTGAGAGAGAGAGCTCGTCAGCTAATAGCAGAAGCTCGATCTGGAGTGAAGATGTCAGAACTTCCCAGCTACAGTGAAATGGCTGCAGAAAAGTTGAAAGAAAGGTCAAAGGCATCTGGAGGTGAGCTGAGGAACCTTGTATCTTATTCCTATGGCAACCTAGAAACCAGAGACCTTTTTGGGTATCACTTTTATTCACACTTCAAAACGTTGTTGTTCAGCGGGTGAACATATCAAAAGACCTGGCTGTAGATGTGTTTCCTAGATCAGTGTTGTGTCGCTTAATTTCCAACAATTACAAGAAAAGCATATATGTGGTTGAAAGAAAAAGACGTTCTGTGAACAAGTAGCTCATGTTGGCCCATTATTTACAGATTTGTCATTGCCCACAGTTTTTTTTTAGAATTTTATGGTTGTTGGTTCTCTTCAATATATATTGTTATATAGGAGCATGGACATAATTTTGGGGGGAAAAAACATTAGAAATACTTAAGAAAAGTTATTTTGTATTAAATGTCTTCAAAAAAACTGCTTGGGAAGAGAATTTTAAAGGTGACCTGTAAGAGGCCACCATTGATTTTAAATGGCAGTCTTTTGACATACCACTTGCATTTACAGGTTTTGAGTTGTAATATTGCTATAATGTTATTAAACTGACTTTGAAATGTCATTAAAATTCATATACCTGCCAGTGCTATGAGCTGGAGTAATATAGTGTCACTCAAACTCAAATGGGTGCTGAGCACACATTGCAGTGCAGGCTTCTTGTTCTTTTAATGTCTTCTACATATTCTAAGGGGAAATAGTGTTTCTCATACTAACACGTAATCATAAGCTGCAGTGTAAAGAAAATCCAGCTTTATGCTCACAATGCATGTAGATTCAACAAAAATATTTATTTCTTCTCTACTTTATGTATTTTATATGCATAAATATTTAAATACAGTCTTATTGCACCCTAAACCCTACACTTCTGTGCCATTTAAGACTGAGAAGAAAGCAGTGAGTTGTACATCTCCCCTTGGTTTTGGTCTTCAGTTTTACCCAGTAAAGCAAGTTCTCTTTTGTGGTAAATAGGGAAATCACATCCTTTGTGGGGAGGCAGTAAGACAGGCTGAGCCAAACAACACAGTCCTTGGACATTACATAGACTATGGTGTTCCTCATCCCTCTTCATGGTTTATGATTCCCCATCCCACATTATTTAATTACTTCCTCCTCACTGTTTCATCATACCTTACATAGCTGTTCCTGCCATATCTTCCCTCAAAGTAAGGTACTCTGAGTGCTCAGCTGCACAGGAGTGACCCTGTTTTGTCACAGTGACTCACTTGCAGTGTTGCTAAATATCTCAGTGTGCTGCTTTCTGGGACGTGGCCTTCCTGTTCGTATTTTCCTCTGTATTTTGCCATTGCTCTTCCTGCCCTTTGTTCAAACTGTGAACAGTCTCAGAGGTAGCTGTGCATATATATTAAAAGAAACATGTATTTATAGAAGGAGATTGCATATGCACCCAGAGAGTTTAGTGTTATTAAAGGAGACAGTATCAGTACTGGTGACAACTCGCTTATAAAGTTATCACCACTATACCTGTTGGGTTTTATCCATGCAACAATTTCACAGCTTTCTACTTTTGCATGTGCTTTGAGTTATCTCCTTTATTTGTATTTCCTGCTTTGATTTTTCTTTGCCCTTACTGTAGTTAGGCCAGTCTATTTGAACTTCTCTTGGACTTAAAATTTTTATTTCCCTTCTTGTTTTGTTCCTCTTTGCCCTTTTCAAGTCAATGTGCATTTTATAGCATTTTCTCTCCTCAAAAAGGATGGCACATCTTCCACATACTTCTATCACACCACTGGTGATGTCAGGTGCCGCACTAAATGTCCACTCAAGAAATTCATTCTTCTAAAATGTGGTAGTTCTGTGAAATGGCACCAACACTTAACAAACCAAATTAATTAGAATTATTTCTGGGTTTAGTCTTTTTTCATTTTTGAGTTTACACCAAAAATTAGGATATAATTGGACAGTCTCCTTATTACAACTGGATTCTGAATGTTTGCCCCTAACTGCATTCACACGTAGTAGGGTTTTTTTCTGTTATAGTCTTGTACTCCCTGTAGAATACCCAGGACAAGCTTCTTGTGATATCTTATGTCTTCCAAGCTTTCTTGTCCATTATGTTTCATAAATCTCTTCTTCTGCATTGATTACAATTACTTTTCAATTTACAAAAAGGGAATGTACCAAATTGTTTTCCTCTCTCAGTTCAGTTATTTCAGAAGAAAAGTGACATTTCAGCTTTGGGATTCTGGAGTTTTTAAAGAGTGATGATTGTAGGTAAAAATGTGATCTCTTTCATTGTTTCTATACGCTCATTAAGAATTTCATGCTTTGGCACTGGTGCAATATTCTCTGTTAAAAGTCTTTATTTAATCATGGTCTGAAAAACTCAAATGCCTATGGCAAGTTGAAACTTTCCTGGATAAGCAGCATCCTTAGCTACAAAATCCAGTCTTTTCCATAGGTTATTTGGCATGTGAGACAGAAAATACTTCTTTCTGCCAACTGCCAGAGGGTTTGGGATGGCAGCTTCAAATTTATTAGATGTCCTACTAGCTTCAGGCCGATAAGCAGATGCCTTGAGATGGATCCAGGGACAGTATCAAGATAGAAATCCAAATTTCCTAGCAGCAACAGGACAAAGGAATTGACATATTATCTAGGAATATGTGCAGTGGAACACCCGTCTACTCTTTTGGGACGTGGGTGTTGTACTTTCTTTGCTCTCTGGCACATCTCCATCCTTCATTGAGATGGTGTCTTTGTGAGGATGTGGCTCGGATCTGGGGGTGGTGTGTAGGCAGTGAAGGGAGGGAACAACAGACAGAACAGGATATGTTCAAGATTTCCCTTCTGAGGCAATGATTTTTAGGGAATGTACGTGGTAGCACAGGCTTACTCATCATGCTAAGTCTCCAACTCATGAAACAGTGTTAAGTCCTCAATTTAATATTTTTAAAAGGCAGTATTTCTATCTGTTGGCAGTTACTGCTGTAATTTCTTGTCCTGACATCTAATTTCTTGTACATGGAACCAGTATTTCAACTCTGCATTTCTTCCATTCCCCACCTTTGTTGCCTTTATTACTGTTCAGAGGCTTCTGTCACATCCTGTAACCTTAAAGCAAACTCTCTACCTGAAAGTAAATAAACTAAATATCTCAATATTCACAAGCCTGAAGGATTTCCCAGAGACAATCCTGAAGGCTGGAAATATCTTCCCTGAAGAGCAAGTACTGTTTGTGCAACTCCAGTTGCAGCTTCCACATGCTTTTCCCAGTAACGTGATCCAGCCCCCATCAATGATTTTGCTTCTCCATGAAAATTCTCCTTTTTAATTTAATTTAGAAATGGTTGCAGTCTGCTGCAACTGGTTCACATGTGGACAAACTTAAACCAAGTCAATAGAATATCAGTTTTAACCACAAATTAAGTTTGACCTTAATCTGAATAGTAAGACATATGAGCTATAAAATGCCTCTGGATCTTTTTCCACCAACATTCTGCCATTTCCATTTGGTTCCGAAAAATACTTATTTCTCTCTCCAGCCCAGACTACAGTCCATGCTGTGTAGGTAAATTGTCAGTGCTGTTTAGTTATGGACTTAATCCTTTATCTTTTATTTTGTTCATTTCTTCATGACATAGTAAAGCCTTGCTGTCTTTCTAGGATTCAAATTTACATACTTTTCAGGGAAGCAGTTCTTCAGTCCTCTTCTAAATATGTGCTCTGGTTCTAGACCAAGTGCTTTTAGTTTTTCACATTAGCAATTTGTTCTTTTCATAAAAGATATCTGTTATCTCTTCGTCATGTTGTTCCTTTTATCGTTTATAATTGCAAAATCTTGTTGTAACATGCTCCCTAAACACATTTCCCTTTTAATACACTAGAAGAACAAAACCCTGGAAAAAAAAAAACCTAGAGTAGTTTCAATCAAGGAATCTAGATTTTTAAAGATATTTGAAAGTTTCTGAAATTACTTCCAATTACTGCTTTTAATTGATTTTTTTTAAAATAAAGTGTAAATGTCCTGATAATCATATTCAGTCAAAGTCTGCTAACTTTAAATGAAATACTAGGTCAGGTCATTATCTGATATTAGAAACTGGTGTCTTCGACATTCCCGTGTCTTTTGTTTCCTAAAACGGTGGTGTCAAAGGCAGTGCCTCTGACCTCATCTTGCTATATTAAATTAAAGAAAATCAAATAATCTAATATAAGCATTCCCTTAGTATGCAGGAGTCTTAAACCCTGTCATCTTGTTTAGATTGTTTTGACACATCCAGCATCCTATGGGATGACTGGTAGTTGTGAGCCGACCTTGTGAGCTGACTCCTTTGGGTGATTCCAAAAGCCTGCTTCTAGGCTCGAGGTGGATTTGGTTTCCCTCTGCCACAATGGTGTCCCTCTTTCACTCTTCTACCTCTTCCAAATGTCCACAGTAGCCCAGTCATGCCTTGAGTGTGCCCCTGTGAGCTCCAAAGTGTGTTTGAGAGGATCGTGGCCCGAATGCCGCTGAATTTCTCAAACACCATCCTAAAGGATTTAGGGTCATGCAGGAAGTCTATCTCCTCATCAGAAACAGTAGAGATTCTTTGAAGGAAATTAAAAAACCATCAGAATTGTTGCTGTTGCTGCTTTACCATTCTCTGTTGTCTTTTCAGTCTGTTTTTTACCCCTTTACCCTTTATTCCTTTTTCCACTTCATGATGATCACTCTGTGCCCTTCTACTTTGTTCACCTACCTCTGCCCTACCTGAAACAACAGGATCACCTTGGGAAATTTAAGTGGGAACAGTAAGGGTGTCACACAGAGTCAGGAGTGTTTCCACCCACCAACTTGTACACCTGAAGCACCATCTGTCAGGTCCCAGGTTAGAAAAGAGTAGTAGACATTAAAAAAGTCAACGGGCTCCTAAAATGGGAATTACGGAGCCTGTGGAGGTAAAGACGTAAAGAAAACATACAATTGTATGATCTTCATGACAGCAGTGTGGACCTAAAGTGGAAACTTCAGATCTGGGAATGAGGTTTAATGTGTTTCCAAGACAGATGATGACTGATCAGCCCCAATCCCGGTACAAACTTCTGGTATTCAGGATTATGGCATCTCGGTAATGTGTTTAGGATCCTTTTTGTTTATATGGTATTTGAATGCACCTGTGTTCTGTATTTATAATCAGTATTTTTTCCTTTTTAAAGTTCTTTTAATCATTATATGTCTTGTTTCTTCAGACACATTCCAGCCTGTTTTTTATCATTTTTGCACACATGCATGCATACATAAGAAAAAAAGTTTGTGTAAGTCTGAACAAGTGTAGATAGCATTTGATATGAGATTTAAAAGTGAGTAAACACAATGCATCTACTTACTTTGAAAGTACTAATCTAGCTTTTATGTAGTTTAATTTCATTATATATTTGTATTGAAAATGTGAGTCAGGATTTTTTCTGGGATCTGCTTCACAATTCAGAACTTGCTATTTGATCTTCCTCAGGTTACTTACTCTTTCTGTACCATAATTTACCTACATCATCATCATAATTGTAATTATAATAATCACCTACTTCATAAAACATTATGGGGCTCATTTATGAGTGATATTCATAAGCTGCTCTGAGAAACTTGGTAGAAAGATCCCATAAAAATATAATTACAATTTTTATTTAAAGTGCATGTAGCTTACAAACAATGCTGATTAAAAGTAGTGCAGTAAAGCACTTTTAACTTATTCATCAATTACTTGGATGAAGGGGCAGATGCCTCCTCAGCAAGTTTGCTGATGATACAAAGCTGGGAGGAGTGGCCAATACCCCAGAGGGCTGTGCAGCCCTTCAGAAGGACTTTGACAGGTTGGAGAGATGGGCAAAGAACCTTCTGAAATTCAGCAAGGGCAAGTGCAGGGTCCTGCACCTGGGAAAGAACAATCCCATGTACCAGTACAGGCTGGGGGCCAACCTGCTGGAAAGCAGATCTGGGGAAAAGGATCTGGGGGTCCTGGTGGACAACAAGCTGTCCATGAGACAGCAGTGTGTCCTTGTGGCCAAGAAGGCCAATGGGATCCTGGGATGTATTAGAAAGATCACTGCCAGCAGGTCATGGGAGATGATTCCTAAGGGTGATCTCTACTCAGCCTTGGTAAGGATCACCTGGAGTGCTGTGTCCAACTCTGGGCTCCTCGGGACAAGAGAGACACGGAGCTCCTGGAGTGGGTCCAGTGGAGGGTGACAAAGATGATCAAGGGACTGGAGCATTTCTCTGATGAGGATGGGCTGAGGGAACTGGGCCTGTTCATCCCTGAGAAGAGACAACTGAGAGGGGACCCCATCAATGCCTATCAGTATCTGAAGGGAGGTTGCCAAGAGGATGGAGCCAGGCTCTGCTTGGTGGTGCCAGCTAACAGGACAAGAGGCAATGGACATAAACTGATGCACAGGAAGTTCCACCTGAACATGAGGAAGAACTTCTTTACTGTGCAATGACTGTGCATTGGAACAGATTGTCCAGAGAGGTTGTGGAGTCTCCATCGCTGGAGATTTTGAAGAACCATCTGGACACAATCCTGTGTAATGTGCTCTGGGATGACCCTGCTTGAGCAGGGAGGTTGGGCTTGATGACCCACTGTGGTCCCTTCCAACCTGACCCATTCTGTGATTCTGTGAAAGCAGCAATTTGTGAGTGTGCCCTTGCTACAGTTGACATTGGTGCTTACTAAGCATGGCGTTCCAGGTGGTAGTTTGCCTCCTTGCATCAAAAGTGATAGGAGACTTTTAACCTAGGCAAGGTACAGTGATCACTGCTCTGTGATATACTGTGCAAAACGAGGAGCAGCAAGTCCCACCAAGCTGGGAACTCAATACCTGGAGCTGCTGCCTTTCTCAGGAGACCGCAGCTCACAAGTCCTTCTGCTGGCCAGACCAATCTGAACCTGCCACATGCCACCTTTGGCACCCATTCTGCATTATGGAGAGCTGGGAGCCTAGGGGAAATTATTTTAACACAAGTTACTGAGATTCAGCACAAAGAACAGACACTGCTGAGGCTAGACTCTGTTGTAGCAGGAGTTTCCAGCAGAGACCCCCATGTGTTTATTGAATTGCATCAGTTTAAAGATAAATCCATGAGTGGACAGAATGAAGTCTCCTTCCAGACTTATTCAATTATTTGCATTTTTATCATAACTCAGCTTGTTCTCTAAAGCATTCATTTTTTTTTAGTGACGTGTTGCATGTACATATGAAAATACTAACCTTAATGCTGTATGTTCCTACAGATGAGGATGAGGATGATGATAATATTGAGATAGATACTAATGAGGAGGTTCCTGAATGCTCTGTTACTGAAGGTGGAGATGAACTTACTAACCTAGAAAATGACCTTGATTCAACGGGTAATTTAAATAATGGCTATTTTGTGTATTTTGCATGACTAACACTCCATCATCATGTAAGTGCTGTTGTGCTGCTTGTCTCTCTGTCAGATTTATTCCCTTCTGCCTTTTGGGGTCTTTTAAACCCTAGTGCTTAATATTCTGCATTCATGTTTAGCTGAAATTTAAAATCAACAAAATCATTATTTCCAACAATGGCAGATTTAAATGTCCCTTGCTTGTTTGATGGGGAAGGGCACCCCGGGCCAGACTGGTAAAGCAGAGCCACCTGAAAGCACCCTGCCTGGATTGTGCCAGGTAGGCAGAGGAGTGAGCAATTGCATGGGTGAGTACAGCTGCTACTCTCTGCACTGCCATCCTGGCCCATTTGCTCAGGGAAGAGGAGCAAACATGTCTCTCTGTGTTCGTGTAGACTTGGTATCTGTCCTTCCCAGGACCAGCTCTTGTACTTACACCTTGTAGCTCCAGTGGGGGCATGGAGGCATAAATTGGAACAGAATTAGTTCCATTTACTTTATAATGTTCGGATAATAGAGGTTTTATTAATACATTAGGGCATAGGAGTGTTATTTCCCCCTTTCAAAAATACTCAAGCAGAACTGGAGTTCAGGTGATAAATATGATGATAAATATGTTGGAATCTTACAGGGGAGATGCTTATTTTAAAAGGAGGTAGATCTTCAAAGATGCAAAAGGAATTGCCCACCCATTAGAGGCTCCTCTCCTTGCAGAGAGCTGCTGAAGGAGTTTGTTCTCTGTACAGGTCTGCCTGATCCAGGCAGCCCTGGGGAGTGCCCAGGGTCTCTGTTTGTGGTGGGCTTCTCTGTCAGGGCCTTTCTGCTCACTGCGAGTTATCTCAAGCCTGGAGAATGCTGGCCAGCACAGGACTGCATCATGAAACAGTCCTTACAAGAGAGAACATCCTCAGCACCCTCTGACTTGATTCTGCCCATGCCAGCTGGGCCCAAGCTAATTTAATATATTAAATTAGAACGTAATTTAGTGTTCGTTCTTTGGAAATTAAACCAACACTGCTATGTATATAGAACTTTCTAGTTTTGTGTGGATGCAAAAATATTTGAGTTGTGTCCTTTATATTTTTTTTTTCTATTTGAGGATTTCCAGGCACATAAGAAAATACATCTAGCACTTCTAACATTTGAATTTAGCTTACTTAGAGCAGAATACTGTAAAATAATTTTCCAATAAAAACTGGTTCATTTTAGGAGAAATAGAAAATCAGTAAGTGAATATTCCTGTCACAGCGCCCCAGTGATTTACTAACATTTATTTCTGTGGGTATTTTTCCTGAGAAGTACCTTCTCATGGATACAAACCCACTACCCAATATTTCATGTCCACCGTGGAAAGACATTCTGAAAAAAAACTCAGACATCATTTTGCAGTTCAATCTGCACAGAAGCCAAAGTTATAGACAGGTAAGAGTGATACAGAAAGCAGTCTAATGCTGTGATAGAAATCTGAGCACACAGATTTTTGTGTAATTCTGCCAATTCAGATCAAGTTCTAATGAAGGCTGAATCTCCTGGGAACATCTGAAAGTAAAACTGTAAAGGACATTTCACATTTAGGGTAATTAATAGACCATCTTAATTAGTTTTTCCCAGCTGAATCTTAGTCCCTCCCATCTCTCTCAAGAAGGGAAAACTTTGTTTTTACTGCTTAGTGGTTTCAGATATTGCTTCTATCTGTATTTGTCAGCACTTCTACCACATGCTGTTGTGAACCTCTTATATCATAGTTATTACATGGTGTTTATGTATAAACCCACGAGAACGTGCAAGTACTTACATGTGAGCCTCAATTAAGGACACCCTGACTGGGTGTGGCAGAGGAAAGGGAAACTATCCCTCATCATAATCCAACCCAACCTGTCGCTGGTGGAGGCAGGCACCATTCGGTTGCCAGCATGCCAAAAACACTTTGGCTAATATGAATTGGAGTACTCCATACCTTGGAAGGAGCTGTGTGGCAAAACAGTCATGACTCCACTTTCCACACCAGCTAGAAGTCACCAACCTGCAGTGAAAAACTCAGGTTGTGCATTTAGGAAAACGTACCAACTGCTGTTTCCTCTGCATTTGACTCAAGGCCCAGGTGTAAGTGCGCCATATGTGCAGGTGATGCTGCACTCACTCCAGTTCAGGGGTGATTTCTCGTGTGGGGCTGCATGTAAAGTATATGTCTGGGGGCTTCTGCACCAGTGTTTTTCTGCTTCCCTAGCCATGGTTAGCTCCACAGTCCTGTGCAGCAGCTTGTTATTAACACCTTTCTCCTTCTTACGTGTGTAGGTAACTATGTGTGTAGGTGTGTTACAAATTCATATAGTCAACATGCACATACAGAATGAGCATTACTGGGAGGTAAAATTCTCAACTATTATTTATTTGGGCTCTGATCCAAGTTGCTAAAATTGATGATAAAAATTTGAGGGATTCAGCAGACTTTGACTCTGTCCCATGGATGCGGTTCTGAAGTGTTTTATGACTCTCCCAGTTTCAATATATTCTATAAATCATAGTAAATTATTACTAGAAAGTCACCTTTTTTGATACTGAAATTTTAATGTTGAGAAACTGTGCCAAGAAGCCTTAGGATGAATAAGTAGTTAATAAACTTGAGGGGTTATCAGTATGTAAATTATGTGATACATTTTTAGGTATTGTCTTAAAATAAATGGCTGTTTAAGTGTGTTTTTATACCAAAGTATAGGCATGTACCCACTGGGAGTAACTTTTAACATTATTGACTTTCTGTGTTTTTCATCTGCTATCTGCAAGCATGTTTACTTATTCAGCTGAGTGTTACCTATGTTTTTTGAGAAAACTTAGGAATATCTCTGTACTGTACACAAACCTGCACCAAGCTCAGTCACAAAAAAAATTCCTTCTACTTTTTATTTTTTTTAGTTTGAAATGATAGCAAAGTGAATTAAATCTACCTTTTAAATTGCTACATTGTTGTAGTGACTCCGCATTGAAATGCATCTCACTCTGTTGTATGTGGTATTTGCATATTTAGCAGAACAAAACAGTAAGTTGATGGATTTGAAGCTGAAGAAGCTCCTAGAAGCTCAGCCACAGGTGGCAAATTCACTCTCCAGTGCTGCTCAGAAAACTGTAACAGATAGCTCAGAGCAAGACATTAAGGTAAGTTTTGCTTAATGCTTTTGTTTTGATACCTGTGTGTTATGTTTGAGTGTTTGTATTTTGTGAGGAGGAAAATAATTTCTTATCAAATCTTTCAGAGTCAGAAACACAGAAAATCTTCACGGTGGTGCAGTTACATGGTTTGCAATGCACTGGGTTTTTTCCAGTTGATTAATCAACACATTTTCCTTTTTTCCTTTTTTTTTTTCTTTTTAATCATGGTACTTGTCGTTGGCAAAACACTAACAGATATAAGAAGCATCTCTCAATTCTGCCTGCTCAGGTTGTCATTGATATCAGAAATGCAGCACGGGCTCCATCCTGCTGCTGGTGCAGTCAGCAGCAAGACTCTACCTGACTTAAAGGGGAGCAGGATTGGACTCCCAGGGATTTGCTTCCCTCCCAGTCCTGGTCCTCTGTTTTTCCTACGTTAGAATGAAGCCATGGTACACTTTGAAGGCATACATACTTTGGGTGCTTGATGAGTGCTTCTGAGAAAAACAGACACTTCTACAGCATAAAGTGCCCACCAATCAATTTTCAATTTCATTTTCTTGATTAGACCATTGTGTTCTTACTATTCTATTTTTTTAAAATAGGCCCTGTATGTCATTAATATCCCTATGGCTCTGGGGCACTTCCAGTTGGGTATAACTTTTCACCCACCTGCAGTCTGTGGGGAGAGTGCTGCTGACTGAAAGGATTTCCTTCCCCAGATACAGAGATGCTTTGAAGTCCCAAAACAATGACTTTCATTGCTTTTCCCTTACACTGTCAGTTCCTATAAATTGGTGATGAAAGTGTGTGGCAGCAGCAGAGGACTTTCGGTCTCTATCTTTGAACAAAAGGAAGCCTGGATCAAGTCTGATTTTTGCGTTCAATTTAGCTTTCTGCAGTGGATTTAATGCAAAATGAAGCTGGCCCAAGAATAATACAATGGATTGAAAAGGCTAACTGAATTAGTGGGCTTAGAGGAATACATTTGTAAAGTGGCAGAAGTCCCCAGTCATAAAAAGGTTTCTTAAAATGGGATTTACTAGCTAATCACACTGATATTTTAGCATGTTGCCAGGCCTAAAAAAATTAGTCATGTTTGTTTATTTTGGTAAAGACTCTGGTTTAGGCTGTCAGATGGTTATTGTGCTAATAAGAGGAAACCACCTTTTATTTAACCAGAATCATAACCACCTGATTAGTGCAGCTGAAAAGTCATCCAGGGATATAAGCAATACTTGTTTACGCTTAATTCTGTGAAATGACACACAGGCCGCCTCTTAGGGTAATTTGGTATCACCTAACCTAGCAAAAATGGTATTTCTCTTTATAAAAAGCTTTTGTGAAGGAGTTGATTCTTTTTAAGGTACTTCCACAAAAAGGTGCAACTTAACAGTTTATCTCTGCATGCGTTTTTTCTAAGGAAGAGTTGAAAGGCAGCGTTATAAGGAATATATGGTGTCCATCTGTTCTCATGGAGCTCTTGGCATTGAGGTGGATTTGTTTTTTAATAAAATGCAGTTTACAGGTTTCTAAATGAGGCATTCTGTGTTTGTGGAAAAGGATAAACTGTTACCTTCCCTTGGGGATTGTGTATCCCCGGCCTCCTTGAGGCGAGAGAATAGGCCGTTGGAGAACTCCCTCATTACCGATTGTCTCAATGCAGAGGAAGGGCAAAGTCTTGGTAGCTTTTGATAACCAGTTTCAGCATTCAGCAGGCTTAGCTATTAGTCATGCATCTTAGCCTTTCCCTATTTACTTTCAAAACACTTAATAAAAATAATAAAAGATTAGGTATAAAATGAAATATTTGTTTGGTACACAGCACCTCGGTATCTGCAGTTTCCACACACCACAGTGGTTCAGTCTTCTGGGATATTTGGTGTTGATAGAATCATTTGAATTTGTTACCAGTATTAACATAGGAAGCCCTGGAAAAGATAATTGTAGTTTCCTTAGCTGTAAAGGGCTTACTTACAAATCTGGCTTTGGAAAGTTATAGCTGATGAAATGCAGTTCAGTGGGGTAGCATTATAATCCTACCTTTTAGACTTCATCCAGCATTAGTGGTTTATCTCAATGGGCATAAAATTAGAAACTAGTTCTTCTTGTCATACAAGTCTATGGGACTACAGAAAACGACAGATTTCTGTATCGGGCTGGGAGAGAGGCTAAAGGCAACACGCTTAAAAATGATACAGATCGTGTTCAGGGACAGAGACGCCGCGACTTGGCAGCAGCACGCGCGGTGCTTGGCAGAGCAAAGGTGCAAAGGAGGGATTTTTTTGTTTAAAATCGGCATTGCTGGCAAATGCTTGTCACAATGAATAGGTCTGGCTGGTAAGGAAGTGGAGAGTTCTGCAGGAGGGTGCCCACAGAGCAAAAAGCCAGTCGTTGCCATCACACATTAAACAAAAAAAAAAAAAAAAAGGAAAAGTTAATCACTCTTCTGCTTTTCTCCCCACAGCTGATGCTTCATCCAATATAAACCACAGCCCAAGTTGTGAAATCCACTTTTGTAAAAGCTGTGTCCTGTCCCCTCACAAAAACGTACCTTTCAAAGTAATGTCTTCCCGCTTGTAAACAAAAGAAACTGTTGTGTGTCTGTTTTTTTCCCAGCAGAATGGAACAGAGGAACATCGTGCTGAGCGATCACAAAAAGCAGCAGAACGGTTTAGAAATCCCGTTGTGTTCAGCAAGGACTCGACTGTCAGGAAAACTCAGCTCCAGTCTTTCAGTCAATATGTGGAGAGCAGACCAGGTAGGAGAAAATATAAAACCTGTTTTCCCATCTTATGATTTAATAATATTTAACAATAAATATATGAAAACCTGATAATGTAAGTCCACATTTCAATACATAAATATCAAGCTTTATAATAATTTTACATGTCTTTTCCCTTTTTTCAAGAGATGAAAAGGCAGAGATCAATACAGGAAGATACAAAGAGAGGAAATGAGGAGAAGGCTGCGATAGCTGAGACTCAGAGGAAGCCATCAGAAGATGAAGTGCTTAATGTATATTAATTTTTTGTCTGGTTTCATGATTGCTGATAATTCCAAACTGTATGTGGAAATAGTGCCTTTATTTGTTAAAATGAGATGTTAGGGTTTTTTAGATGTCAATCTCCAGTGCATTCAAAGCAGAGTGAGAGGGGTGCACTGTTGAATTAGTCTGCAGTGTGGTGATAATTGTCAGATAAAAAAAATGAATTTTTCAGAGTTCCACAGCCCCAGCTTCCTTGAGACATTTCCATCAGGGCACTTCCCATAAAGAGATTCCAGTATTGATCTACCGGGAGGATTTTAATTATTACAATAGCAGATACCGCAGAGCTGCAGTTAGAGGGAAGAGTCACATGAGACCTGCTAGAATTTCTCAGCCAACCCATTTTGTTGGCTTGGGTTAATGGGTGTTCAACCTTTCCATTATCCAGATCAGCCGTGAATTACTAGCTGAATGATGTTTGCATTAATATAATATATATGGTAATTTCTTCACTTAATTAACGGGGAGGTTCAGCTCAGTAGGGGTATGGGCTGATCATGTGTAAAATTGATTTGTGAGGGAAATATTTGATAGACCGCAGGGAGAAAGCTGGTTTTGATGGACAGCTGCGGGACAGAAGCAGGAAGAACCAAGTTTTAACCTGAATTTTTTTTGTCTGAAAGCGCAACACAGCCTTTGAGGGCGGTTGTTTGTTGCTCTCCACAGTTTATCTGAACACATTTGTCGTTTTTGCTGAAGCAATCTAGAGCCGAGTAGCAATTTTGTACCACTATCTGCACCAAACATCAAACTTTTTACGAGCCAGAGTTATTTTTAGCCCAGTTGTACTTTTGCAGAGCTGAAAAGGTCTGGCACAGTGAATTCACATTATATATGCAGATGATACACGTGAACTCTTGGGATATTACAGCCTGACACAGCGTTTCTTTTCATGTTCTAATAGCAATTGTTAACAATTATGCATGCTGACATTAGGGAAGTTTTCATACTATTTTCAATTAATTATGGTTGATGAAAGGCAATATATTGCACATCACTTCAACTCCCCGGACTGATTTTTTTTCCTTTTTTCACGGAGTGCTCTCCGGGAGTTTTGGTTTTGTTGTTGTTGTTTTTCTGGCTATACAACAGGTAGAAAGAGGTTTTCCATTAGAGGTGATACTGTTGGCTGTTGTGTAGGAAGAGAAGGACCAAATTAATCAGGGCGTAATGTTCTTAAATTCGGGTAACCCAAATTTCAAAGTTCTGCGCTTCTTACTGGTCCAGGGAGCTCAACCAGGCTGTTAGCTTTCACTTTGAACATGTCTTTATTTGAAATAATATGCTGTGTATAGTATGCCTGTTGCCTGAATATGAAGCTGAATTGATTATTCAGACACATTTACAGAAAAACAATTGAAAATGTTCGGTGAAGGTATCTGAGACCCTTATGCAGCAACAAGTTAGGCCTCATAAATTGTAGGGAAATGAACCTCATAAAAAAAGCCTGTTTATTTTTCTGTTCCCAAAGGACGGTGATTTTTGTTGCATACTTTACAGAGTGCACATGAAACATGAAATCATTTTATCAGGTGTTTTTTTTTTTCCCTATTTAAAACATTCACAAAGGCTCTGGGTCAGGCATAGGAGAAAAAAGTGCATGAGGTTACTTGGAAGGAGTAATATTGTTTTTCGTAACTTATGCAAAAACATACTTAAGGAATGACATTTCAGCATTGTGTACAGCCACAAAACTGTGTGAAAGCTGTTGTGCCAAATGAGAACAACTTAGTGGTCCTGAATGTCTTTGCTTGGGCTCCTACAAGACAGCCAGACCACTTTGGAAACACTTGGAGATCTGTGTGGTCATCTGCCAGGCAGTGCTGAGGAGTTACAGGGTACAAGAGGCAAACTTGACTTAGTAGTGTTCCTACAGCTTTCTTGGTAAGGTTCAGTAGGATTTATCAACTGGACATCCCAGGGCCACCTCCTGGCACAGAGGCAGGACAGCTCGAGTTAGTCCCCGTGTGCCTGAGGCACCTGAGTATCTGTCCAGGGCTGTTTGCCACCACTTTTCAGGATAAGAATCATAGTAATTAGTGGTATTTCTACAGATCACCCTGTAACAGGACAATTCCTTCAGTCAGAGAAACCCAGAGAGGCGTGATGGCCCAGGCTGGGGAGCCTCAGCATCACAGTTGCCTCAGAGGAGCTGCGCAAGCCAGGGAGCTTGTTTCGTGTTTGTTTTTAATCTTAAAAGCCCACTTTTTATTTGTCATTAGAGACTCTTGTGCTAGTTCTACTAGCCCCTAAAGTTAACATTTTAAAATTGAATAAGTAGAAATGGCATGTTATATAGTGCTTTATTTGGATTACCTTTCTTTTCATGATGCTTTGTTACTGCAGCTTTCATGTGCTTAGAAATAAATTAGAGGAATTTCAAAATATCTGCCAGGTAGTAAAAAACTGCAAAATCAAATGTTCCCTAGGGAAAAACCGGGGTATTTTAATAAACAAATAAGGACATTTGGCAAAATTGTAAAGTTTATGAAATGTGTTAGCTTTTTGGTAGCGAGCATGATATTTGGTTGTTTAGGTAAGTGCCTTACTAAGTGTTTGTGGAAAGGAAAAATGCAACTTACAAGTGATGTTTTTTCTTCTTGTTTGTTCTCTTTAACAGAAAGGGTTCAAAGACACCAGTCAGTATGTTGTAGGAGAATTGGCAGCACTAGAGAATGAGCAAAAGCAAATTGACACCCGTGCCGCGCTGGTGGAGAAGCGCCTTCGCTATCTCATGGACACAG